TCAGAGAGAAGACAGCGTAAGACGGTTGGTTAGCTCACACAATGCACAGTTATTTCGTACACACGAAGATATGTAAGCAATAGGGCGACTTTAAATGCCGCCCTAGTAAAGATGGGAATAACCTATTAAATCTCTTCATTTCTACTGAAGAGGCAAATTTTCATAAAATGCTTGCATCCAATTGATTATTTCAGTTGTTGCTATGGTGGCATCTATTGTAAACCGAAGAAACATAACTGGCCTGCTTTCAAACGCCACCCTAGCGACAATCGAAACAACCAACTAGATCTCTTCATTTCATAAAATACAGAAGTCGAATCGGTTATTTCAGTTGTTGTCAGTATGGTCTTTAAAGTCACGCCATAAGTGACCAATTCAATCGTTGCTAGGTGGCCATTAAATTCAGTCACTCAAGAGTTACGCAATTTGGTCCACCAAACAGCTTACGATACAACAAAATTTGGGTTGTCCTTGGTTGCATATTGTACGCTATCTGATTCATCATTACATAAAACTAAATTACCTGACCACAACATCATAATTCATTAAGATGAAACAACCAATTTAAAACATAAGAAATGAGATAATTCACAATGATGAAGTTGTACTCAACATGCAATATTTCCGATATAAAAGTTATATTTACATGAATGAGGCGTCAGTCGAAAGCTCTTGAACGGAACAGTACAGTAATGTTACTCATTAAGTCATAATCAAAATATCTTTTTGGTATAAATGAAGTAAAGCGACCGAAGAAACTTATCTGAGATTTACGTTCACACTTCTCAGCTAATCTAAAACACCCCCTTATTTCCAAAGGATTCATTGGTATGATTTTTGATATGGATTGAGCATCAATCCATTTGCTTTGTGTCGTTTCCTGTGTGACCTTCATAGAGGTACTACCAATTTTCTTTCTGTTGATATTCTCCTGTATTGAGACTGCATAAGTATTTCTGTCGAAATATTTGGTTGCATTTTGGAATCTCTTTTTTTCTTCTCTGCTCTTTCATAGGCAAAAGATTGAGAATTACTCGAAACTAGCGTTGTACGGGGGCATGTCGGAAAAGCTGTCCAGCTTTTCGCCCAGAGTTGGTTGCTTCTGGATGAAAGAAGTGCTTTGCATCATCTCTTAGATGTCGTTTAGATCTTCTCACAGTACCAGACCCCATGATGCTAAGGAACGTACTTGTATGATTCTGTTATAAACCTGTGGCAATTAACCGAGAAATACTGGGAGACATTTAAAATAGCTTTATAACCACTAACATAAGTAGTATACATTGAATACAGTGCAGCAAATGGGACCAAACAAAGCTGCGAATTATTGATCTAGTCGGTACCAATGAGATCTAGGTCAGTGCTACTTCTTAGATAACATGTTCCCAAAAAGGATAGGATTCTAATATGAACCGCGTAACTGATCAATACAATAGGCTAAAAAATATTCCCACACGAGTTGCGGGGTATATAATCTACGGATTTAATAGGAGGACGACTAAAAATAGTCCACGTTTTCTTCCAGATTAGCAGCATATCTGAAAAACAACTTGAAAAATCTCTAAGTCCCCACAAACCCCCCAATTCAACTGAACTAGTCCCACACTAGGACGAAACAGTTGTCCAGTGCTTCTAGGTTTGGAAATATGGACCACTGGATTCTGACCCAGTGGCATAATGGTAACATGCTGGCCACGGGACCTAAAGGCGGCGGGTGCGCACTGCTGAGGAGTCCCATACTAGGACCAAACACCTGTCCAGTGCTCCCAGGTTTCTTTTGTTCCTTCAACTGATGTCAGTCTACGGTGAATAACAACTTGACATAAAATAATAACAGAAAAACAAATGAATTCCGAAAAGTGAACAAAATTAAAGATTGTAGTAAAAATATTACCAACAAAAAACAACAAAATGAAGAATAGAAGACTAAATTAAATAAAACCAGCAAATGTCTAACAAAATCAGGATTTCCAGAAAATGATGGGGGGAAAGGAAAGGATATTAGACCGACAAACGTAATAAAGCTCATCACAGATATAATCCACACAACACAGATACAAACAAAAAGCGGGGAGCTAAATGAAATCAAGCGGTCAAGGTACTCAAGAATATTGTCAATAAAATAATAAATACACTTGTGGAGACTGCAAAAGTATTTTTCATCAAATCTTTTAATTGCATTTGACCCATATTTCAGACATTCCAATTGCCTGGATCATTCGTTCCCCTAAAACCTCTACAAAGTAGTTCCGTTAATCTATGCAGTTGGTATTCACTACCGGAAAAATTTTGTGTAGCACATTGCATGAAGATTTACCGTGATACGCTACTCCTCTGTTCTGTTCCATTTTCTCGCCTTTTGCTTACAAAAAGCTATGACACACTATCAACCGGGTTTTTACAAAAAGTGATCTAATCCATCCAAACGCATTCATAACTCATTCAACGACAGTAATTCTGAGGCTTCCTCATAGTCGTCACATCATCATTCGAATCTTGTCACAGAGATTACATTGATAATAGATTGAACCGGAAACACTGTTTTCAACCAAACCTTTTCATGAATATGTATTTCACTGTGTTGATTGTCTTTCAGATTAAACATCAAATGCTTGCAACTTCTCTTGCCTTGCTGTTTACGTTAACGTTAGTGCATACATATAACAGACGCCTAATTATTCGCACTAATTGTTGCTGGGTCTACTACACATTCACTTGTTTACATCAGGTTAGTCAATTCAATGGATTCCATCATGCATTCGCGAGTCGTAGCAAATGGAATGACAATTATCTTTCCTCTCTGCAACTCCAACTGCACTTCATCAAATGACGACATTAAACAACCAAACACCCAAACAGAAGTAAGCGTGAAACAATAATCAGACAAAAAACCGTGCATTTCCAAATCGATGGTGCCAGGAATTTGTCTTCCTACCTTGAGAATAATACGGACATGAACATTTAGGTGGTAGAAGGAAGTAAGTGGGCTGGAATTATTATGAGGGTGAAATGAGGCAGTGAATGTGTTGACCGAACCTTCGTGGGATGTCAATTATCATTTCACAATTGCTATGATGTGATTGTGATCAGGGAATTTGTGATCGATAAGGTATTCATGCCGTGAATGGTGATGCATTTTATCGTGCTACTGTTGAGCGTGCTACATACGCAGTAAACTGATGATGCTTGGAATCGATTGTGAATAGGGCCGAGGTGACAGTAAGATGTTTGGCGTATAATGTGTAGGGCTCAGCCGGGAGTCGAACCCGGGACCACTCGCACCCGAAGCGAGTATCATACCCTAGACCACTGAGCCGGACGTCATCGGGAGTACCACCAAAACCTATACATACCTACACACGGTAACGCACCTTAAATGTCTAACAACAATATCATACCCTACAATTTCTCACATAACAACCATACTACACCTTCACTAACAATACCAATACAAACAACAAAACCACCACTACCAGAAATGTCAATTGCTCACCACTGATAAGACAGACACAGTGACCACTCGTCCTCCTCCCCCCTATCAATCAATCAATCACTCACTCACTCACTCTTCACGACATGTGCAGTGAAGAAACATAGCCGCACTCCTCTCTCCACCACTCACTGGCAATATTCTCCTGACTCAATTAGTCTTCTACACACTGTGAATACACATCTCAACAAGAGGCACGGCCACTTCGAATTTCGTCACTGTGGTCTGAACTCCGGTGTCAGCCAAAAACTAAGTGCCAATAGTTTTTCGGCTGTGTGAATCAAACGACTGCCTGTCTGGTCTCTGTTGGCAACAGTATTTGTTACTGACCACTGGCCTTCTGCTGAAAGCAACTTCGTATCATAACCGCAAGGCGTTAGGTGGCAGCGTGCCCGGTCACTGTGTTTGCCGTGGTACCAGCAAGTGCAACTCACTATTCTTCTAGGGGGCCGTCAACGTCTATATGGAGATATATTTCTCGAAACACTTCGTTATCGCCTCTGTGTACTCAAGGTCTTAAACTGTCTATATAATACCTCTGTTGTATACTCTAACTCCGCACTCTTATCTGTTTGTGGGGTATGCGTAACTTATGACACCCAGGAGAATCCCGTACTTTCGTGAATACGATCTGCAATGCCTGCTAGTTTGTCTATATTGACGTCATCATCATCATCAAAGGACAGTATCTGTTGCGTGTTTTGAGGTCACCGCCTGGGCCACAAGTGATACAAGAATCTGCCGTCTACTGTCTTGTTTCCCGGTATCTTACGCACATAGCACTTTAGTTAAAGTGGAGCTCTGCTGCCCAACTAAAGATGGCTGAGAAAATGATCCATCATCTGTTGACCTGACAAAGATTCAGCTTTCTAGGCTGCCTGTTTTAATCCATCGTAAGGTTTATTGGAGCCAACATTTATAAGGATATTCCTCACTGGTTCTACAACATTATCCAGCAATAAGGTCCCGACGAGGCAAAACTTGGCATTTTGGGACTTAGCTAGCTACTAAAAGCTCTCCAATCGAGTAAACCACAAAAATGGGTTTTTAACTTTCAAAGCAGGAACAGTAAATTCAAGGTGCCCACATACTCGGAATCAGAGGAAACGAATAAACCACCGTTTTGTGAAATCAAATGTTAACACAAAACTAATAGTGATGATCGAGATCACACTGGGAAAAGGTCATAAGGAATCACCAAAATATTTATACACTGCCCAAAAAATGATAAGCAGAAAAATTATTTTAGTGCAAACAGTTTGCCAGACTATAAAAAATCCAGCGGTTACCTGTCAATTTATCGAAGATGTTGACGGTGAAATAATATATAATCCGTAATCTCTTGCTGATTGCTGCATTTTGCGTTTTCAGTAAGTGATAGGAATGTCATGACTCATCAAACTTTTGTAGATGATGCGCATCTACCTTCATTTATTTGAATATAAGAGTACAAATGCAATTTTCAGTATTGGCGGTTCATTCAGTAAGTAAAAGAGTCTGAAACTCAAGCTGAGTATTGGAGAGATAAAAACATTGGTGTACCTTTGCGCACTGAAAAGTCCAATCCCATAAAACGAGAAATTCCTCCTGTGTTTTGTTATTAAATCGAGAAATGGCAAGTCGAAAATATTTTAAGAATGATCAAGACGACATATTGAATGATCAAAACAAACTGAACAGAAATAATTTGATATATAAGTTGAGTGGAAAATTTTCGGTAGCACAAGACTGAATCAGGCCACCGTAACATCCATTGACCGGTCAATACATATTCATTTCACGAAGAAGTAGAAACTAGCAAGATGAAACGAACCACAATAAAAGGAACTTGTGCTACTCTAGAGCGAAGGCGTCCCAGCACTCTTATTCACTGAATTCTTGCATCCTGTTTGACTGAACAAGATTTGTAGATGTTGGTTATGGTGGGTCTCGGTTGCTCTCTACAATTCCAGTATCATGCTTCAGATTGACGAGACGCTGGGATCCTGCAGTAACCAACTACAGCGTCACTCGTTGGCATCGCTCAATTCGTGATAAAGTTCTCAGTCCGATATCAGCATTGACAGGTGACTGAAGACCCGAAAGAACTAATTCTGCCTTACCAATATTCATCGTATGTGGGACGCCATTTAACCGTTCCGATCTTGATTCGATTCAGAACAAAGCGATTCGCAGTTTATCATCGGTTACATCATAATTTCGTACTGCTGTGATTTTCAGAGTTTTGAGTTTCGATGAATGGATTGAGATTCCAACACCTAGATATAGTGAGCATTCGTAATATTCGGAATCATTGAGCACTGCTGAAAGTCTGGAGAATTAGATTCAGGGTTTCCCATCCGTCACCTTCTTGCATTTAAAAGCATAAATGTATAACATCCCACTTTTCGCAGACTAAATCATATTACCTTTGATATGGACTGGAAATCCATCAGTTCAGCTTTTAGGATTTGTCCTGGTGCGAACTTGACACACACAAAGACCAATCACTAATTATTCAGACTTGTTATATACCCACGAATACGAGACCAAGGAAGAACACGATAGCGTAGTCGGATGGGATAGTACATTTGGGTGGTTGTGCCAAAATACCGATGCGTTCCAACTAACTGGATAGAGAGTCGAATACGAGCAGTGCCACGTAACACGACAGCATGCCAAATGGCGAGGATGCTTGACCGGGTGCCTTCATCTTATCGAGTCCAGTTAAACTATCAAGGTCAGCATCAATGTCGAAAGTCGTCAAACCCTAGACTATTGATTTTGGGGAAGTGTGTGACGCTACAAGCTTTCATCCATTCCTATGTGGTTGCCTCACAAATGGTCCCAGTTTTCTTTCCAACGAGATTCACTTCTGCAACAACCTCATATTATTTCTGCAAAACATCCAGTTGCATACTGAAGATTGGTTTCCTATCATCATCTGGGTATTTGCATGCAGAATTTCGTGAATGGTTTGCTTCATTTATTCTCGCCTCGTAAATAACATTGATTCCCACGTCTGACTGCAATAACTCCAGCCAGATACACAGGATTCCTAATAGTCGTGAAATTCTGTAACCACTACTGACTGATATTATTGACTGCATGATAAAAGAAGACTTCATTAACTATGTCATCCTGTCATTCCTAACTGAATCGCTCGCATGATTCACCAAGATGATACGTGAGTTGGAAGCCAGCCATTGATTACTATGGATGAATAGTCTATGCGGTACAGAGTGGCCATGCTTCTTGTTGAGATGTCTATTCACAGTGTGTAGAAGACTAATTGAGTCAGGAGAATATTGCCAGTGAGTGGTGGAGAGAGGAGTGCGGCTATGTTTCTTCACTGCACATGTCGTGAAGAGTGAGTGAGTGAGTGATTGATTGATTGATAGGGGGAGGAGGACGAGTGGTCACTGTGTCTGTCTTATCAGTGGTGAGCAATTGACATTTCTGGTAGTGGTGGTTTTGTTGTTTGTATTGGTATTGTTAGTGAAGGTGTAGTATGGTTGTTATGTGAGAAATTGTAGGGTATGATATTGTTGTTAGACATTTAAGGTGCGTTACCGTGTGTAGGTATGTATAGGTTTTGGTGGTACTCCCGATGACGTCCGGCTCAGTGGTCTAGGGGTATGATACTCGCTTCGGGTGCGAGTGGTCCCGGGTTCGACTCCCGGCTGAGCCCTACACATTATACGCCAAACATCTTACTGTCACCTCGGCCCTATTCACAATCGATTCCAAGCATCATCAGTTTACTGCGTATGTAGCACGCTCAACAGTAGCACGATAAAATGCATCACCATTCACGGCATGAATACCTTATCGATCACAAATTCCCTGATCACAATCACATCATAGCAATTATGAAATGATAATTGACATCTCACGAAGGTTCGGTCAACACATTCACTGCCTCATTTCACCCTCATAATAATTCCAGCCCACTTACTTCCTTCTACCACCTAAATGTTCATGTCCGTATTATTCTCAAGGTAGGAAGACAAATTCCAGGCACCATCGATGTGGAAATGCACTCTTTCTTCGTCTCCTGAATGAAACGAGAAAAGCAGAGACTAGGGAATTACTGAAGGAATGCTTATCACTAACATATGATAGAGTAATGTTTAAATTTGGTACACCGTGCTCTAAGAGGATCATTTGCAAACTGTGCTTTATTTACTCTTCTGCTTCTCACTTGATTTGCTCTTCATACGCCCGCAGTGTCTCTTGTGTTTCTCTGGGTAGAGTGATTACTCAGTGCTGATAATTCCCTATGATTTCTGCCCCCTGCCAACGTATACTACTTATTTAAAACAAGCAACACGTGTGAAGAAATCAGAATTTAATGAATTCATAAATTTCAGTAGTACTCGTCAGCTGGATACTCTACATACTTGATTATATCTACCGTTAAGCAATGGAAAGGAGAATACATACACGCAAACATATATAACGTAGACTGATACAGATTTGGGGATAGGGATATTACCAGCTTCTCGACGGGTAAACGCGATGGTTTCATCAACTGGTACATTTGTGAAGAGAGATACAACATCAAATGAAATGAGATGCTTACCAGTGCTATTGAAATCTGTGAGGTTTCGAACAAATTGGAAGGTATCAGAGACAGTGTGTTCTCCCAGACGTTTGCGTAATAGTTCGAGAAATCCACATAACCACTGGGCTACTTTGTGATATGGTGAATTTATCATTGATAATATCAGCCTTAAAGGCACACCTGGCTTATGTATCTTCGCTCGCCCATTTAACTTTGCGATCTGTGATCCAATTGGTTTAATGCTTTTAAATGTGGTTTCGTCTATGTATTTAGCTTTGAGGAGCTGCTTTAGTTGCTGTACCATCTGCTTTTCAATATATGATGTTTGGTCTTTAGCGTTACTATCCAATATGAATTTCCAGTTGTCAGAGAGAATTTCGAGCATCTTTGTAACATAGTCTGTTTTGTTTACAAGAGTTACACATTCTCCCTTATCAGAACTGAGAATAACCAGATCTTTGTTTTCTCGAAGCTCACGTAAGGATCTCCAGTATTCTTTAGAAATAATTCCTTTTTGGCTGGAAGACATTGTTCGGAATTGGTATGCAATATCTACCATCTTGGATTTGAACCAACTTTCATTGTCTTCCGAAGCAGCACGAAGACTCCTGAGTTGATCATTTAAGTTTTCAAACTGGGCTTCAACTTCGATTTGTCGTATATTCTTTGCTGGCACACAGAATTTAAATCCCATAGATAATAAATATTTCAGATTGGGTTTTAGTCAGAGAGGCATCAGAGAAATTGTGAAAATAATCTTCCGGATTGTATGGAAATATATCATTTGGAGAATCAGGAAATAACGATTTTTGCAAAGTTCGACTACTTATATCCATTCTTATCAACAACACCCACTACACTCTTGCACCACCACCACCCTCCCCACCCACACACCCATCAATCTTTCTCGCTTGCAACCGTGTTCATCGTCTTGTTGCTGTCTTCTCTTGGTATTTCGTCTTTTCCCTACCACTTCCATTTTTGAAATAGGCTGGCGTTTACTCTCTTCTCTTCGATGGTATAAACTGAACCGCATCTCTCGGTTACGATATATGGTCCTTCCCACTTCGGGAACACTTCCCTTCTACCATATTCATCTCCTCACGTATATCCTCGTTCTTTACATTTCACCTGGTCTCCGACCTCAAACGGTTTCCACTTACTTCCTTCTCTCTCCTCAGATATTTCAGCATCAGCTTCCGGTTTCTGTTCCACATTTCTGATTGCCTGTTTCCGCTCATTTCTCAATCTTGTCATGTCCCACGGCTGTTGTTGGGGCCAGGCCTTACTGTGTATTGGGAGCCGTGGTTCCCCGCCATACACTAACTGGAATGACGACTTATTGGTTGTCCCTTGTACCGATGCACGACGCACTAATAAGACTAACGTCAGTTTCGTCTCCAATCGCCTCCTTGGCTTTCGAAGTCAGCCACTCCTTAAGTGTACGGTTACTCCGTTCTGTCAAACCATTAGTCTGAGGGTGATATGGCGTCTCTCTTATCCTCTTGATATCAAGCTGCTCCAAACAGGATTTAAATCCATGACTCTCAAGACAAGGACCCTGATTGGTCAATATCATCTTCTGAACACCGAGATCCGCGACAATATGCCGCATCACTACTGTGGTCACTGTTTTTGTGCGTTGGTCGGGAATCGCGACAGCATCTACCCATTGTGTAGCATGCTCCGTCATCACCAGCATGTATTGGTTGCGACTGGATGTGTGCGGAAATGGTCCCACTACATCCACAGACCACAGGTCACCAACTGCTGACACTGGAATCGACTGAAGCGGCGGTCGTACATAGCTATCACTTTCCATCAGGTAGCAATGAGGACCGGTGAGCATGTGTCTAGCAAGATCTCTCATACGTGGCCAGTATGTACCTTCTCAGTGTTATATGTTCCGTCGCCAACTGCTATTTATTGCGAACAGATATAATAACCAGGCTCAACTGAACGCTAACTTTGCACGCAAGAGCCACCGACTGAAACCCGGAACAAATAGAGAGGAGCTCGACGCTGGATGATGAGAGAGTTAATACCTCCGAATATATAATAATCAACCAACGATTTAAAGCATGAAATCTGGCGAATAAAGAATGTTTTGGTGGAAAATGGTTACCCTAAATAGTTCTTGAATAAAATTATCAGTCAAACGAATAAAACAGCAAGTACTACTTACTACCTGTAATAAAGGTACAACAAAATCATGGGCATCATCTATGACGATACTATATCGAAAAGGCACTTCTGAAGAGATTAAAAGAGTATGTGCCTCACATGGCATTAAAGTTTGTTTTAAACTTTTGAATTCACTTGAAAAGATCTTAGTCAAAGTGAAAGATACAATTCCTAAGATGACACATAACAACTGTGTCTACAAAATTGAATGTTTCGGATGTGAAGTTAATTACATTGGAGAAAGTTGTAGACCCCTAAAAGTTAGGATAAATGAACACAAGTTATGTATGAAACATCCACCGAAGAATCAAGATGAATTAAAAAATTTAGAGAAGCGATCAGCGATAGCTATGCATGCAATCGAAAATGGACACATGATTGACTTTGAGAATGTAAGACATTATTGAAGTAAGGTTTCCATTCATATAGAGAAAGATTAACTTCTGAGGGCCTGCATATTTTAACAACATCAAAGTCTATAAACAGAAAAGAAGGACTTGACTTGTCACCTGTGTGCCAAACATTAATCCGCCAAAACCATTTATGATGACCTTTTCTAATTAAAGTACAATAGTAATTATTGACAGTTTTATAAATAAGAGTACAATAAATAACATTCTACAACGTACAAAAACATGTATACACATTTTGACTATCTTATATATTCGTTGACAAATGATGATAATAGCAACCATGAGCTTGCAATGACTGATGTTAATTACTCCGGTTGGACATGAAAATCATCAAACCAATGACCTACGTTCACTAAATATATTTAATGTATCATTCGACTATATATTTTGATGTTAATAAAACAAATCCGTATATTCTGCTAAAGAAGCTATAGCGTACACAGCGAAACATTGAGAAATATCTTGTTTTGATTTTGTAAACACGTTGGGATTATTATTAAAGTATATTCTTAAAACAATAATCAATCAGTTAATTCAAAAACACGTGAATATGTATGCACATGATGTATGACCTCGTCCGCAATTTGAGACATTGTTATAGGAAGAGTAAAGATTAACCAATCAGCGAATTACATTACAATGGGGGCAGAAAATGAACTAGTAATCAAATTGTCAAAATGGTGTGAAAATGACAAGTTTAAAATGTTCAGATCAATAACAGTGTTTTATACATAACTGAGGCCTTACAACATTCTGAGAAAGTCCGTCGTCCGTGAGACACTTGTTGTATGAGCTAATTGGTGGCATGCTTGTATCATTTTGTCGTAATGACATTGCGGAATCATTGCCAACAAACTTCCATAATTTTCTCGCCAAGTCAGCATTCCATAAATATTCACAAGTAGGTGTTCTTCTGGCGTCAACAACGTTCTCAACTATTTATTTGCTACAGACTTGTTTGTCTCCATTCCTTCAGTTATGGCTTTTATCACTTCTTTAAGTGAAGGATCCGACTTCTGAAGGCGATTAGACCTTTAAGATTTCTCCTGGTGCGAACTTGACACACACAAAGACCAATCACGAATTATTCAGACTTGTTATATACCCACGAATACGAGGCCAAGGAAGAACACGATAGCGTAGTCGGATGGAATAGTACATTTGGGTGGTTGTGCCAAGATACCGATGCGTTCCAACTAACTGGCTAGAGAGTCGAATACGAGCAGTGCCACGTAACACGACAGCATGCCAAATGCCAAGGATGCTTGACCGGGTGCCTTCATCTTATCGAGTCCAGTTAAACTATCAAGGTCAGCATCAATGTCGAAAGTCGTCAAACCCTAGACTATTGATTTTGGGGAAGTGTGTGACGCTACAGATCACTCCCCCCCTAGTGGGTTCGTGAGGACCCTAAGACGATACCAGCCGGAAGTAAAATCCCAGTAGTTTCTCCACTGGTAAAACTCTTCCGATGGGCTCACTGCGTGAAGTGGCTCCTGGTTCTCTAAACTTATTCTAGGGTGTCGTGGCAATTAAATAATAAAATACAATAAATGAATTGGACGTCGATAGCGGTCACCAGTTCCTTTTGACGTTTCGTCCAGTGCTAGTTGCACCTGGAATGTAAATAAAAGTCTCTAATACCACGAAAACGTTTTGTAAAAATGGGAATTATTTATACATAAACACATCGAAAAATAAAAATTTACACTTATTTTCACCGTTTTTTTAAAAAAAACTTTCATTATATGGTAATTTGGGCTAGAAAAGAGCCTAAAGAGCTTTTCATGTGTGACATGACTTTACACTTTTGACGAGCTAAGCATGACTGAGCCCACTCCTTAACGTCTTTGTTCATCCCAGGCCAGCAGAAACGTTGTGCGATAAGCCTAATGGTGGCTCCTACACCTGGATGAGAGAGTTTGTGCAACGTATAGAAGACGTTGCGTCGACAATCTTCGGAATTATTGGGCGTGGTTGACTAGCAGAGACATCGCACAAAGTCGCAGCTTGAGAGTTGTGGACGACAACTCATGATGCAGCTCAAGGTCTTCCTTTTGACGCCGAGCTAGTTCAACGAGATCAACGCCCTCGATACGACTTATCGAAGCTATTCGAGATAGTGCGTCGGCTGCGGAGTTATTTGCTCCAGAAATGTGGCGGATGTCTGACGTGAACTGGGAAATGTAATCCAGCTGTCGCGACTCACGCGGGGAGTATTTGTCAGACGCCGAGCTGAGGGAAAAGGTTAACGGTTTGTGGTCTGTGAAAATAATGAAATCACGACCTTCCACAGAATGTCGAAAATGGCGTACAGAACAGTACATAGCTAGGAGTTCCCTACCAAATGTACTGTATCTTGTTTCCGCGTCTTGCAGCCGCCTCGAGAAAAAGGCTAACGGTTGCCACTGGTTGTCAGTCAACTGTTGCAAAACTGCTCCAATTGCTGAATCAGATGCATCAACAGCAATACTCAAAGAGCATTGGGGTCATGATGCATAAGCATGGTTGCGTTCGAAATGGCTTCCTTGACTTTAGAGAAAGCAAGTCTAGCCGCGTTGTCCAGAGACACGAACTTCGCAGTTCCTCGAAGTAGATCTGTTAGTGGTCTCATGACAGAGGCACAGTTAGGGATAAACCTTCGGTAATAACTTACCAGGCCATTGAAAGTGCGGAGATGTTTCACAGTGGTCGGCTCTGGATAGTTTGTGATAGCCGCCACTTTATCTCTCAATGGGCGTATACCTTTGTTGTCAATGGTATGCCCAAGGAAGCTGAGTGATTCAACTCCTATTTCACACTTCTGTAAGTTGACTGTGATGCCATGTTTTTTAAGTCTTTCGAATGCGAGGTCCAAATGTTTAAGGTGAGTTTCCTTATCTGGACTCGCAATTAGACAGTCATCGATGTAGACATGAACAAAATTCAAACCACGGAAGACATCATCCATAAAGCGTTGGAATGTTTGTGCTGCATTCCGAAGACCAAATGGCATGCGCAGGAATTCAAACAGGCCAAAAGGAGTAATAATGGCTGTTTTCGCGATATCTTCTGCTGCCATAGGTATCTGGTTGTACGCTTTGACCAAGTCGATTTTGGAGAAAATGTTCATTCCGCATAAGGTTGCGGTCAAGTCGTAAACGTGAGGTATCGAGTAGCAGTCCGGAGTTGTTTTGGCGTTAAGCCTTCGGTAATCACCGGTTGGACGCCAGTCGTTGCTATCCTTTTTGGGAACCATGTGCAATGGCGATGCCCAAGGACTGTTTGACGGTCTGATAATGCCCAGTTCGAGCATGTGGTCGAATTCATTTTTCGCCGTTTTGAGCTTATCGGGGGCTAAACGGCGCGCTTTGGATGCCACAGGTGGACCTGTGGTTGTGACGTGATGCATAACATTGCTGGTTATGCACGGAAGAGTGTGCTTCGGTTGTTGTAACTCTGGATATTTCTCCAGAACTGCCTGGTAGGACGCGTCGCCTGATTGTTTAGTCCTAACGATGGCTAAACTCGGACCTACATAGGTGGTGCCGCCAATAGATAACTTTGTGTTGTTATCTATCAGTCGTCGACGGCGAGCATCTACGAGTAGATCGTAATGGTTTAGCAAATCTATGCCAATGATGGGCATAGAGACGTCAGCAAGGAGGAAGATCCAGTGAATAGGTTTGCGTAAACCTAAGTTGAGGTAGGCATACCGTCTCCCGAATGTCGCGATTGCCTTGCCGTTGGCTGCTTGAAGATTGAAGGATGGGTCAAGATGACGCTCCTTTGTCGTTGCTGGAAGAACGCTAACTTCTGCGCCGGTGTCGACGAGGTAGCGGACTTTCGTTTTAATGTCGGTGACGTAGAGCAAACGGCTTTTTCCGCCGGCTACGGTTGCCGTGAGCACGTGCCGGCGTGACCGTTTCCCGAGTTTGTGTCCTTCTTAAAACGGCATGGTTTACGACATTTTCTGGCTTCATCCCCGTAAGTGTTATGAAACCAGCACCATTCAGGG